CCTTCTGAAAAGCACAACTGGGTGTGATGGTGAATGCCTGTAACCCCAGCACTCTGAGAAGCTGAGAGCACAAAATCTCAAATTCCACTCCAGCAAGGGCAATTTAGGAGATCATGTCCAAAACAAAAACAAAAACAAAAACACTGGGCTTACAGAGGAAGTTCTTCTTTTACAACAGTCTTATTCTCTGCTGTGGAACACAGACCTTATTTGTCTCCCTCAGTAACAGCTTCTCAATTGCTTAATTTGCATTTGTTTAATGAATGGGCTGAATGTTGAATGGTGAGACTGCAGGACACTGTGTAGTGTTTGTGCTCTTCCTGACTTTTAAATGTGGCCTACTTAAGTCATGATTTGTTACCCTTAGTCTTTCATTTTCTGTCTACATTCTTCCAAATAGAGGCTGAAGGCATTCAAAAGATTTTCTTTTATATTATTTTATCATGAAGATGCTCTGGTTAAAAAATAAGAAAATCGGGGCCGGGGAGATGGCTCAGTGGAATAAACACTTCCCTGGCAAGTGCAGGGGCCTGAGTTCAAACCCCGGTTCCGAAAAAAAAAATAAGAAAATCATCCTGGTGTGGTGGTGCATATCTGCAATCCCGGCACTCAGGAGGCTGAGGCAGGAGGATCATTGGGAGTTTGAGACCAGCCTGGGCTACAAAGTGAGTTAAAGCCAGCCCGAACTGCATAGCGAGACCCTGCCTCAAAAAGACCAAAAAAAAAAAAAAAAAAAAAAAAAAAAAAAAATCTAATCTGAACCATAGGTAAATTGCCATTATAAAGCCTTTGGAAAGTTTCTATAATGGCCATTAAGGGGCAGAAGGCACTGCTTCTTGAAAAATACCATTTTTCAAAGGCATATTTCTTATGTACCCAAGGGACTCTAGGGATGGTTTGGAAGGTGGAACACGTACAAGTGTGCTGGAGAATGCTGACTCTTTTCCCATTGTGCTCAGTGGCCCAGACCTGACATTTTATTCATGCCAATGATTTTCTTGAATATGGACCAAGACAAAAAGCTGCCAATGGAAGCTACCAAATCTCTCTCAGCTCAAAGTTGTGTTGTATCTGGTTCATGTAGTGTATGGAAGCAACTCCTGCAAATACTTAACATTTTTTCAATCTTTTCCAGCTCCTTTTGGGAGAATTCTCTAGAGATCTGGAAACAAGGAGCCCACACTTCTCTGCAGAAGAGCCCCGCAAAGAGCAGTATCCTGACCTTCAGCGCTAGTGTAGGCAGCCAAATTAGATGGAAATATTATAGGCAGTCAGACAGGGATAGACCATGTAGGGAGACAGCACAGAAGACAAGATATCTTGCAACTATGAAAAAGATAGACGCTCCTGCTGTGGGCCAGACCTAAAGACCAAAGATGGAACAAATGCTTACCTTCCTAAAGATAAGCATCCCAGATTGATCACCGTGAAGAAGCCAGAAAGGGTCACTAATCTGACTGATGCAAGCTCCCAGATAAACTCCTGTTCTATATTCATCTCTACTTGCTATATGACTCCCTTCCCCAGTTGGTCTTGGATTTAATCAATTTTACTTGAGCAATGGTGCTGATACAACCTGTTCAGCTCCCTTTCTGTCCCTCTCTTGGACAGAAGCTTTCTTTCCCCCAATAAATATATTCTGCTCTTAACCTCCATTCCTAAAATTTATTCTTCTGTTTTAGAGAACATGAATTCATCACAGGTATCTTCATGTTGGGCATTTCATTTCCCTTTATCACTAGTATCCCTGAGGATGTTGGAAATGCAAATGCTAAGGCTCCATCCCAGGCTTTCTGGAGACAGGCTCAATGCAGATATGTTCTACCAAGCATCTCCCATGGAGAGGCTGAAGTTTTGTACCCACTGCTCATAGCAACAACTGACAAGATTGCATTGCTGTCTTGAAGTGTATGGAATGTTGTACAATTCCTGCTGTCCTGTCTGTGGTACCTCTGGACACACCAGCTCAGGTCCTGTAGAGATTCAGGCCCACCTCCTTCAGGCTAGGACAGACTACCTCTGAGAATCCAGAGATTGCCCCTGTCTGATCCTGTCAGTTGATGTGTAACCAAGAGAAGAAGACAGCAGAGCCCCATTGCTGGGTAGAAGACAGAGTGTGTAGAAACCTGGAGAGCTAAAAGCTTTTCAGATCACTGGAAAAATGGATCCATGCTGAGCTGACGCTGCAGACGAGACATGACATTATGCTTAAGTGTGCATTTGGGTAGAGTCTGCAGGGGATGAAGGTGGGGACATGGGGGTTGGGAGGTTGGGGATTGCTGGAGCCAAGATAGAATTCAAGCCAGGCCTGGACTAGACAGTGAGACCTTGCCTCAAAAAGCCTAAACAAAACCAACAAGAAAAGTCAGTTCTAAGTGATTTAGGTAAGGGTGAAAAGGCAAGCAATTCTTATACCTTACATATATTTTAAATTTCTAATTGATCCAAGGTATTAGAAATCTCTCATATTATTGTAATTAAGTGACTTCTAACAGATTTTTGCCTTCTCTGACCAGCCTGTAAGTAATTTCCTTCCCCCATCACACTCCCAGTCTCCTGTTTTCTTCCTCCCTGCAGATCTCTGTTTGGGATATGAGACACTCACAATTTAATTGTGCCTTCTCTGTTTAGTTCTTCTAAACTGCTGGTTTGGAAGGAAAGGCTGTGTTCACTCTGTACCCTTCTCGATGGTATGCTCAAGGCAGCTGTCCAGTAAATGCGTTTTTGAATGAATCAATGAACGAATGAGCTGGAATCCATTTGTAAAAAAACTCAGTCCAGAGGCACCAGGCAAAGAAGCTCAGATTTTGGGGGGTTACCCTATTTAATGAGAGAGGCTTGCACTATAAAAGCTATCATACACACTGGCTCCAGAGATTAAACGAAAAGTTTGATGCTCTGTGTCAGCATCAACAATTAAAAGCAGAGAAAATAAAATTTAAGAGTGAAATGGTGTTTGCAAACTTTAGCTTTCTGGATGAGCAATTTCAGTGAAGGAAAATACCCAACAGAATATTATAGCCAGGACAGACAAAATATGCTCCATAACACCATTAATTATACCAGGAACTTCAAGCAGCTGCTGGAAAAGTCTTTATAGATGCAATCCTGATGGGGAATATTATAGGGCTCAGGAAGCAAACACCCTAAGGAAAATTAGTGGGCAGAGGAAATTGAATATATTTTAAATATAATTGCGCAAAGATTTAATGCAATTTAAGATATACAGATTGGGATGCAATATAAAATCTACACTCATTCAGTGAAAACCTCCCTGAAAGTCACTGTTCTTTATTAAATGTTTTAACTTGAGATTTATTAAATTAAATGAGTTGATCATTTTTGAAAGTAATGATCATTGTATCTGAGGAAGGTAATTTTTAAAGTATTTTGCAAGCACTAGCTTATCTGTATTTCTCTATCTACCAAACTGCCCATCCATAGCTACTGGGTGAGCAGTAGGTCACAAGAATAAGAATTATTACAGGGCAAATATAATCTGTTACGCCCATGAGGTTTTGTGGAACTGGAACCTCTCCAAGTACTAATTATATTATAAAAACAAATGGGCAACTTGGTCACTAAAGAGAAAAAGTCTTAACATAGAGTAGTTTCTAAATGTCTTAGAGTATTAAAACTAGTTGGCAATTGGGTCATTCTCTTGCACAAATTAAAGTAGATGTTTTGTACATATTATCCATAAATTCCTGCTAGTAATCGGTAATGAAGTAGAGGTCACTGCAACTCATGTGATTATCAGACGACTGAAAATGAGCAAATCACAGAACCCACCACCCTGGCCTGAGGTGACCCTGTCCCTGTAATCCATGACCCGAGCTGCTTCCAAAGATAAGTGTAAAACATGCCATCTAAAGCATTCTTGGATCTAAAGCAGTCTTGGAAGAAATGTTAGGAAGGGCAAGCATTATCACTAATAGTCCACAATACACAAACATGCAGACACTTCTCTCTCTCTCTCTCTCTCTCTCTCTCTCTCTCTCTCTCTCTCCTATTTTTTCTTTTTTTTTTCTTTTTTCTTTTTTTGAGATGGGGTGGGGGCTATGCAGTTCAGGCTGGGCTAGAAATTACTTTTTAGCCCAGGCTAGGCTTGAACTCATAACCATCCTCCTGCCTCAATGTACATGTACTCCTTCTTTAAATATGTTCACCTCACTTTTTTTTTTTTCTTTTAAAGTAAAATTTGACTATTCTTTTTTTTGGACAATTCTAGAGAAAACTTAACCAAGTCTAGCCATGCTAGAAATTTGTTTGTTTGTTTGTTTTCTACAGAGTACTAGTTATTTCTGTATGCATGTGAAAGGCCAATTGTCTTCACAGAATATCAGTTCCTTAAGGAAGAAATCAAATCTAATTTATCCTCCTGGTCCAAAACTGAATAACTAGGGGCCGGGGAGATAGCGCAATGGAATAAGCACTTGCCTGGCAAGCACAAGGACCTGAATTCAATCCCCGGTTCCAACAAAAACAAAAACCAAAAACTGAATAACTATAATTTGCTATTATTTAAGATTTTATTTTTGACATATTAATGTAATAAGTACTATAGCAATGAGCTGTGTGCTAGGAAGGAAAAGCAATTTGTAAAAGTGCTGACATGCTCTGTCCTCAACAAGAGAGGTGAAGTGAACATGAGGCTAGAGTGGCTTAGGATTAAAGTTAGTAGAAAATAAATTAGGATATGTTTGGGCGAAATGGTGTGTGGTTTTATCTATATTTTGTTTTTCTAGAGAATTACATCATGTTCCTTATTTCTAATGGGGGAAAAAAACCGCTCCATACTCCACACTAGATGGTATTATTTAGAAATGTTTGAATCACACTTTTACTTGGCAGAACTACGCTTTTACTTGAACTATTTTTAGGTAAAATTTAGCACAGGTTAAATATGGCAAAAATCCCAAGACTTTCAAAAGTACTAGGAGAATTATCACGAGAACTGAGATGGAGGCAAAATCGCCAGAAGCTTTGCTCCGACATACCTTGGCCACTTCTTCTTGGAAAGCCACGAGATTCAGATGGGAGATGTTAACTAGGTCAGGCCCATACACCACCGTTATCATGCGATGCTCCAGGCGCCCGATGTTCCCCACATCCAGGAGCTCACGTAATTTGGGGTCCTGCATAACAAACATAGAAAAATTTAGTTTATCGCTAAAGGTTTCGACACCGCAGCATGACTTCAAATAAACTAGAGTAAGAACGACTTCCAAACGAAGTTGCCTTTTACTCTTAGAGAAGATGGTATGGGTTGAAGTCCTGTAGCCCATGGCAGCCTGCAAAGGAGAAAGATGAGCTGCCCTGAGGTGTGGAGAAAGAATTTCTGGCTCAAGACCTGTGAACTTCAGTAAGCGCTGATCCTGCTGTACTCCTCTTCGGCTGTGCTTTTCATGGGCTGTAGTTCTCCGCTGATTTCTTCTGATCACCCCGTGAATTACATAATGAAATGAAAAACCTTTCTTGTGTTCCTGCATGCATAGATGTATTATGACAAAGAAAATATTTCTTGTGGAATCTAAAACCATTGCATTTACTTCAGTTTTGATCTTAAAGGCTCACCAGAGGCCCATGTTTAAAAGACTTCGTCCCCAGCTTGGCACTGGGTGGAGGTCAGTTTTTAAGAACTAGGCCCAATGGGAGGTCTTCCAACCACTAACAGGCTCTTGAAGGAGAAGCTGGATTCTGGCCCTTTCTTTTCTTGTTGTGTTTTTCTACCTGGCAGGCCATGCAGATGGATCTGCCATGCCACACACTCCTGCCATGACCTGGGCCCTCCACCACCAGGCAAACAGAGGCCTACCATCCCAAAGTGCACCCCATCATAGACTGAAACCTTCAAAATGGTGTGCCCAAATAAAATGTTTCTCTTTTTAGGTTTATTATCTCAAGTATTACAGTAAGGAAAGTTGACTCACATAATGCTGTCTAGGGCTGGGGTGGAAACATAGTCAATGCTGCCAGTGTGGACCTTCTCCAACATTCAGAACAGACATAAAGAAATAGGGGTTTGGGGTGATCAAAATGGCAGCACCTGCCATGAGTACACTAACTTAAAGTCTAACCTCAGCATCTAGCGGGATTCCAGCATAGGGAGCTTCTTCCGTTGTTTTAAAGCCAGTTGCCTTCTTTGCAACATCAAAAGTGAGAATCCCTTGGAGATACAGACTTTCTGGGAAAGGGAAGTTTCCAAATATTCAGAACTCAAAATAAAACCTAAAATAGGGCTTAGTTAACTTGGCTGGGATTATTTTCCTCCCGTAGGACAGGCCCTGAAGAACTTCTCAGTCCATGCAGAAAATCAGCATCAAATCAATCACTTAGCGAATTTGCTGCCAGCTTTTGAACAAGGAATACGCTTGCATTCTTATTTATTTAGTTCAATGCTGGGCCAACAGGACCTGATTACTGAGGCTGGTTATTCTGACCTCCCTTCTAAGGTTTTCATACACACCATCATTGCAAAGAAAGAGCAGAATTTTTAAAAAGCCAAGAAAGAAAACAAACAAAACCTTTCCAGTTGGGTTACTTTATTTGGAACCATTAATTCTCTCTTCAGTTAACAAAACTTTCTCTTCTGTGAAGCGGCATGAAGAGGAACATTGTCAGGTGAGTTATGAAGAGAGAAAACCCTACTTCAAAGCTTTACCCAATATAACTAAAACCTGAACTCCCCAGACAAGAGCTGACAAAGTACACCACCAAGCTTCCTGAAAGATCAACAGCTACGACCAAAGCCTCAATTTCATGACCCAGAAAAAAAAAAAAAGACTACAAGATTTTATGTAAAAAACGACAGTGGCAAAACAAACCCAACATTTTTATTTTTCTAATGTTAATGAAGGATGAAAGAATAGGCATTTTGTGAAGGTCAAATAGACATGATATGATCCCAGGTGTTCTGTGAAACAAGGAATTGCATCATAGTTTTTGAATACAACCGACGTGGTGTTAGACAGAAACTACATTGATCAGACATGTTTGGAAGACCGAGCAATCACTTGAGAACTTGTGATTATAAGTGATAGGTTTGAAATCAATGGTTATAGAACCTGGCAATATCTTTTTTACTTGTACAACATCAAAAAAGAAGTATCTAGGAATGAACTTGCCCTATGTTTTTGATATTTTTCCTTTCAGTGAGGACCACAGCATTTACCCTCTGGGATTTGCATCCCCAGTTATTCTACTTACTAATTTCATGTCTATTCAGAATGCTTTTGCTCACTTATTAAGTAGGTCATTGGTTAAAGAGTTCCACATCTCAGAATTGCAGGGAGGAGGTATGGTGATCAGAGGTTCACCTGAATTCTATTGAGACAGAGGAAGCTTTGAGAAGCAGAGACTCTCAGAGGAGTTGCCCAGAGTAGGAAACAATTCTGGAAAGAGCTTTTGGAATTCCACCTGCCCTGACAATGTCACTGTTAGACACAGTCAACAAGAATTTACAAGAAGGATGACCAATGTTTAGGAGGATCTTTGACAAGTTTTCCCATTAATGGTTGTTTATGTAAATTAAAAAAAAAAACAAAAAAACAACTCTTGGTCTTTATGCAATTCAAAATTAATAATGAACTATTTTGGGTAGACAAAGCAAGCTGGTTAAAAGAAGATGACTGGATTTTAGAACAAATATTTGAGGATTTACTATATACATTTTCATATCTGAGATGATCAAAATTTACAACTTAAAAGTTGTAAAAAGAATTACTGAGCATTAGCTGAAGTAACAGAGTTACTCCAGAGGAATGTTTTCCTAGGAGAAACCACATTTTTAAATCTCAGGTAAGCAGAGAAATAATTACAGTATTAAGCAAGCAAGTCCTTTGCTAATGTTTGCTTTTGCTCCTACAGTACATGGATTTAAACTATAATCTACTTTCTTTTCCACGACTGGTCACTTTATGTTTAATTTGTGCCTTTTCATCATCTCTTTCATTTTTATCAACAACAAACTGACTTACATTAGACTTCTCCTCTGAGGAAAGATTTTACTTCTCTTTCTACTTATACTAAAACTTTTCACATTTTGAAGGCGACTCATCTAGGAGCACATTGATAAGTGAGAGGTGCACTGAGAAAGCTACTCTGCTCTTCAAGCAGTGAGCGCAATTCAGACAAAGGGAACTGTCCAGGAAGATGAGGTGTAAAGGCGGAGAGCTTTTGGAGAACCTTACTAAGGAAAGAGTTGAAAACATCCAGATGTCTAAAAATCCATTATTTCTGGAGTGCAGAACTCTCAGGTCTGAGAACACAAGTAGGTATATTCCAGGAAAACAAACATATAAACACAGAGACATATTTAGACACTTACACTCATAAAATCACCTCACTAATTTAACTGAGATTGCCCTGTCCCCTAACCTACTGCGCCAAGCACATCTTATCTGTAATCCGTACCATTCTCATGGACCTTGCTTTCTGGTAAGTCCCCAGAGAAGCAGTTTACCCACATCACTAAGAGATCTAAACACTATCGTCTGTTCTTGCAGCTGATATAAATGCTGTGAACTTCCCAAAAGCAAGATAAGCTATCTGCAGAACTCTGTAAAATATTCCATTTTTCTAAAGAATACATAACTCAGAAAAAAAAGTAAGAAGTAAGGTGAACTTGCCTTTCTTTTTTTCTTCCTAAGCTGTCACTCACAGCTTGCTTTTGGCAAAGAAGATTCTAGATGTGTCTCTGCAGTTTGAATTAA